ATTTGTAAAAATATATTTTAAGTTTCTCTCTTCTTATCAGGGAGGGCGTTGCCCCAGCGCCCCCTATGGGCCGGCCACCACTGCTCACTCCTGACATTTTCCGGCAGTAACGTCACGGTGCGGTAAGCCTAGCGCCATTCTCCCCACTTTACCAGCAAAATCAATGGGAACTACTAGACACATCTGCAATCAACAACAATTATTTAAGATTTCCAGAGGACTTCACTATTGAAATTAATGAGAGCAATAGTTAAACTTACAATGCTCACATGCATGGCAGTGGATTTTGTAATACATCAGGTAAAAGTAAAAAGAAAAATTTGTTATTTATACCTTTCCAATTCATAATCCACCATTGACAGATTTGTTGTTGGATTGCCAACTTGAAGAGCAAGGATTTGCTATTGAACTTTTGGCCAGAGAAAAAACGAGTCATATGTAAGCAACATTTCGAACAAAACTGTTTTTCAAGATGACTTTGATAATAGCGAGTTGTGACAAACACCAGATACAGCACTGGGACTTGTTCAACAGCTGATACCGCACCGTGACGTCACAAACCGGTAGGTGGCAGTAGTGTTCTTTGACAAACATGGATGTCTCCAGTAAAGCACATTCAAATGGAAATTACTCTTAATAAAAACACTTACCATTTATTGAACAGTATGTAATAATTTCATATATAAAGTATTATCAGATTTTTGAATTCTGAATATGACCAGACTTTTCCTTAAATCAAATAACTTGCAGAATATCATATATTTTTTCTCTGAGCATAAGCAAAACTGGCTTTATGTTCAGGCAACAGATCAAATCATGGTCAAACAGATAACTCCTCTAACAGATTTGCTCAATTAAGAACCACTTTCATTTAAAATAAGAATTTATTAACAAAAATCTTTAAATTGCAAGTCACAAGTGTGTTAGTGAAAAGCTCTGCACTCAACTAGTGAAACTAAACTAAGCTACTATTCACAAAACTAAGAAGAAATGGAAAAGTTTGAAAACCATTTTCAAGAAAATGCTACAATGCTATACTCGTTTGGTAAGGATTTTATGTTTGACGAGTTTGGAACGAGGTGATTGTAGCTTTTAACTAAATTGGAATGTGCACCAACCAACAATGTAAACCCAATGAGGTAATTGAAACATTATGTAGTGAACTGATATCTTGCGAAATTATTAGCCTCAATTAGAAATTAATAACCATGTAGATAATTGATTCTTAAGTTTCTGTGATTATTCCTGAGGAAATAAAGGAGGGTAAGGAACCTTATGGCCTTGTTAGCTACTGTAGGTTCCGTTTTAAGACAACCGAGCAAGTAGCTAGCAATCAAAAGCAGTGTTGTATATAAACAAAGTAAAAATACTTCACTACTGTATATTTTGGAGTACTTTATACTTTCCAAGAGTATAAATTGTTTTGAGAACTTTCACCTTT